ACAGCCCCAAGCCATGCCACTTCTGCTTGCGGTGTGCATGATTGTCCCACCCCCCAACTCATAGAGAGAAAGAGAAATGGAGAGAGAGAGAGAGAGAGAGAGCGATTCTATAGGCTTACGCCACATCCGCCGACCCCTCATCTTGGCGGTCTTGCCGGAACCTCGGGTTCACAGCCCGCAGTTGCCAGGCGTATCAGTGCGGCGGCGCGTGCAAGAGAAGACTACCGACGTCGGCGTTCTCCGGGAACCCTGCCAACGTCGCACGCGATGCAAAAAAGGGCACCCTGATATGCAAGACCTGCAAATGATGCCCAATCGGGGGCGCGCGTGCGGGGGAGGACAGGGGGGAGGGGGAGAGAGGGATGGGGGGTGAGGCGGAGGATGGGGGGAGAAGAATCGGGGAGGAAGAGGAGGAGGCGGGGGAGGAAGAGGAGGAGTGGGCGAGGAGGAGGTGGAGGAGGAGGAGAAGAGGGGGAGGACGGGGACACAGAGACGAAACTCTGGGATATGTGCTATTGGTTAGAAACTTGTTGTATGTGTATAGGGATCTCGCGGCACGCCTCTCGGGGACCTTTGGAAAGCAGTTTTGAACCCACCTGGCGGCCGAGGTGGAGGAGGAGGAGGAGGAGAAGGAGGAAGGGGACACAGAAACAAGGCTCTGGGTTATGGGTTTTGGGTTAGGGCCGTCTTGCACCAGCTTGGGACCAATTTGGAGACAGGTTTTGCCGTCTTGGGGTCGTCTTAGGCCGAATTGGGAGGCGTCCTGGGCCGTGTTGGGATTCTCTGGGGCCGTCTTGAGGCCCTCTTGGGGCGCCGTGGGGCGATCTTGGAGGCTCTTTGGGCTACGTGAGCCGACGGAAGCCGGGAAAGGCAACAATTGCAAACATGTTCAACAACGCAATGGAAATGTAATGAAATGCGTAATGTGCGCCTCTTTCAGATGTCCTGGGGGTCTTCTTGGAGACTTCGTGGGCGATAGTGAAAGCCTTGTCGGCCATCTTGAGGCCATTTTGGGCCGTCTTCGAACGTTCTTGGGCCGTGTTGGAGCCATCTTGGGCCGTTTTGGAGCCATCCTGGGCCGTTTTGGAGCAATCTTGGCCTCGAGAGCGCGAATCATTTTTTTGTGCGCAAACGCAACCCCGCCACCGTGCCTGGGTTGTTGATATGAGACTTGTGCGGTGATCGTTGGGATCTCTTGGGGGGCTTTTCGCGGGACTCTTGGAGGCAGTTTCGAAGCCTCTTGGGGGCCGTTTTGGAGCCTCTTGGGGGCCTCTTGGGGCCTCTTGTGGGCGTCTTGGGGGCCTCTTGGGGCCTCTTGGGGCCTTCTGGGGCCGCCTTGGGGCGGAAGGCTCGGATTGTCGGTTCGGGCTCCCCCTCTTGGGCACCTCTTGGGGCCGTCTTGGGGCCCTCTTGGGCTGTCTTGGGGGCCTCTTGGGCCGTCTTGGCGCCCTCCTGGGCCGACTTGGGCGCCTCTTGGGGGCCTCTCGGGGCGGTCTTGGGGTGCTCTGGGACCGTCTTCAACGCCGTGAAGGCCGAGAAGTAGTATGTGATCAAAATGTACGTTTTCCCATAGGAATTGACGATTTTCGGCGCTTCGGCCCTTCTGAGGACTGCTCTTGGAGGCGTCTTGGGCCGTCTTGGAGGCCTCTAGGCTCGTCTTGGGGGCATCTTGGGCGTCTGGGAGCGCTCGTTTGGCGCCTCGGAGCTCTCGTGAGCCGTCTTGGAGGAGTCTTGGGGCCTTCTTGGCCCGTCTTGATCCCCTTTTGGGCCCAAAAGAGCCCCGTGGTGCGCTCGTCTGCGGCCCGGGGGGGGGGGGTCAAATCTCCGGTTTGGGGTCCCAGGGGGGGGGTTAGGGGGGGGGAACTATCTCACACGCCTAGAGACCCACAAGGGGTCGGCGGATTTGTCCCCGCTTTTGTTTCTGCGTGCTCGTTTCTAGCATCACTTCCAGTCACTCGATAGGGACGTCCATGGGTGAGACGCGCCAGTCTTGCTATCCTCGTACGGGCGGAGGAAGAAGGAAGAAGCTCCTCCATTTCCCCATCCTCTTCCTCCTCTTCCCTTTTCTTCCTCTCCCTCCTCCTCCTCTTCCTCCTCCTCCTCCTCCTCCTCCTCCTCCTCCTCCCCTCCCTCCCTCCCCCTTTCCCTCCCTCCTCCTCCCTCCCCTCTCTCCCCCGCCCTCCTCCCTCCTCGCTTGCCTACTTCGGTGCGTCGGCCAGGTAACGCGACCAGCGGAAGAATGCACATCGGTTGTTTCTAATTCTTTCGGGGAGGCTAAATGAAGGAAAGTCGCGGGAAGGAAATTGTTCATAGGGAGAGTGCTTCAGGATAATGACGATGATGATGCTGCTGATGATGATGCTGATGATGGTAATGATGCAGATGCTGATGATACTGATGCTGTTGATGATGCTGATGATGATACTGGTGGTAATGCTGTTTGTGATGATGCTGGTGATTATGCTGATGCTGATGATGATGCTGATGCTGCTGATGATGGTGATGATGATGATGATGATGATGATGATGATGATGATGATGATGGGTATGATGATGTGATGATGATGCTGATGATGGTGGTGGTGGTGGTGATGATGCTGATGATGACGATGATGGTGATGATGATCATGATGATGCTGATGATGATGCTGTTGATGATGGTGATGATAGTGGTGATGATGATGGTGGTGGTGGTTGATGATGGTGGTGATGGGGATGGTGATCGGGATGGTCATGGTGATGGTGATGGTGACGGTGATGGTGATGGTGAGAAGGATGAGGAGGGTGAGGAGGATAATGGTGATGATGATAATGAGGAGGAACATGATGCTGATTCTGATGATGAAGCTGATGATAATGGTGATGATGATGAGGATGATGTGGATCATGCTGATGATGCTGCTGATAATGATGCTGCTGATGATGATGAGGAGGAGGGGAGAGGTTTGCCTTCAAGGGTCCTCCTCCTTCTCCTCCTTCTCTTCCTCTCCCTTCTCCCTTCATCTTCCTCCTCCCCTCTCACCCTCCCCCCTCTCTTCCCTCCTCTCTTTTCTCCTCCGGATTTCCATAGAGGGCAAGGTACGTTCCAAGCATATATGCATCCCCAAACCTCCTGCTCCGGCCGGAGAGCCAGCCAGGTGATGTCTGAGTGCTCCAAGTCGATCGAGATGGCGGCCCAGCTCACCGGGGTCAGCAGAGAGTCGCTCGAAAAGTCGATCTGCAACACCACGCGGAGGGGCCCCAGGGCGGGGATTGCTCCGGGGCCTGCCGCCCGACGGTGGCCATCGGCAGGCCGAAGCGAGCTCCGACGGTGCGGCGATGGCCTGGGGGCCATGCTCTGACTCCCCAGACTTCGGGCGGGTCCATCTTTGTAGTCCTGATGCTCTTCCTTCGTGTCGGCCTCCAGGAGTCGTTTTTCGCGCCCTGGGACCATCGAGACGGCTCGGGAGGAGAAGCCTGCCACAGAAGGCGGCGGGAAGTCGGACGCCTCTCGCCGGGGTCGCGCCGGGAGGGAGGGCGCGCCGGTGCTGTGCCCCGGGGGCCTGCAGGGGGTCGTGCCCACTGCGGAGCTCCGGCTGTGGCCCGAGCGGGGGAGTTTTGCGTGCGCCCCCTCGCCCCTCCAGGTGCACCCCTCGCGCGGGTCGTGCCTTCCGCCCTGGCGTGCCATGGCTTGGGCAGAATCAGGGCAGGGGTTTCCCAGCTTTCGGCCCCTGGGGGCCCTCACCGGGCCCTGGGGCCGTCCAGAGAGCGCCTCGGGAGGAAGGGCCAGCCCCGGGGAAGCGGTCCGGACTTCCGGGGGCCGCGTGCTGAAAAAATCCGGGCATCGCATATCTCGGTCACGCGGGTCGTGGCCCACGGGGGGCTCCAGCTATGGACTCGGCAGGGAGTTCGCACAGCGTTTCCGCTCCGATGCAGGCGCGGCCCCCACACAGAGTCGGTGCAGCGTCCCCGCCTCACTGCGGGACACTCTTCGCGCAGGGATCTTCAGCTATGGCCCAGCGGGGTGCCTCGCATACTGCCCCCTGGTTCAAAGCGGCACAGCCCGCACGCGCGTGCCCCTGAAAGAGCTCAAATCTATTTTCTTCCGTGGCGCGTCGTTCATGAAGAGATGGCCCCCCCTGAGCCACTCGCAGCTACGTAGGGTTGTGTCCTTTGCTAGGCCAGCGTTGTCTGGGCGAAGTTGCCGGGCGCTCCTGCAGTCGAGCGGTTCTGTTGCGATTCGCGTCGCGTTTGTGAGCGAGGCGGTGGAACACCCACGGATTTGTTGACACAGGCATAGATGCAAGCTCGGTGCGTTGCTTTTCCAGTCTCTCTTTTACTCCCGCTCGCTCTCTCTCTCTCTCTCCCTCTCCTGTGTGTCCCGCCTGCTCTTCTGCGTATGGGCGCTTTGTGCGCGACACCCCCTCGAGGGTCGTGATTCTCCCGTCGTCGTCTTCGCGCACCGCTTCTTCTGCACCGCACCTATCTGTACCGCAGAGAGAGAGGGAGAGAGAGAGAGAGATTGGATAAAGAGCGAGAGAGGGAGAAAGAGAGAGAGAGAGAGTGAACGACCTATATTTATTTATTTATATACCTGGACAAACGTCATCAGAGGGATACATGTATACATATGTATATATGTATTGGGAGCAAACATCACTTGTTATGTGAGAGAGGGAGAGAGATAGTCATACATAAAGAAATGAAGAAAGAGAGAGAGAGAGAGAGGGACGGGGGCATGGGACTTAGATGGGGATGGTGCTGCTAAGGAGAGATCGGGTGTTGACAGAAGCGTTCCTGGCTCGATGTGCTCCTAGCTTCTGGCCAAGTTTGAGCCCTTGGGCCACCAGGATCTCCCTGGCAGCCCTGCGACACCTTGTGCCATTGAAACGCTTGTGTCGATACCCGAACGACGGAGAGGAGGGCAGTTAAGGACGACCCAGACTTCAGAAGGATTGCTTCTGCTTGATCCTGACTCTTTTCGCCGATTCTGGCCTCTGGGGGTCGTCTTCAGGCCACGGGGCCATCAGCCGGGACGGAAGAGCGTCCCCCCAGAGAGGGTGCCGAGACCCCTGAGGCCCGCGGGGTTGGCAGGATCGATCCGTCGGAGGTCTTTCAGGAGGGACAAAAACACACAGACACAATTAATCGTCGATCCCCCAGAAAATATGGGAAAATATGGGAAGTGGGCGGGAAGACAAAAACCCAGAAAATATGGGAAAATATGGGAAATCTCTTTATTTGTGATTATTTATTTGTGTGCCCTGGGGCCCCTTCAGTCTTTGGGATCGGGGGAGCTCAGATCTGCGCCGCCGGCACGCGTGCCGCAGGCCAGCGCGCAAGAGCGACGTGCGCCGAGCGTGCTCCGCCGCCTGCGCCCTCTTCTCCCTCCGTCCGCGCTGGCCCCGCTCCCTCGCTGTGCCCACCGGGGCCCCGCGGTGCCCCTCGGCTGCCTCCGACTGCGGCTTGGCCCCGAGCCGCTGCGATCCAGTGCAGCAGGCCGGCAGGGAAGCAACCTGCGCGCCCGCGCCTCGGGGGGAAGCGCTGCCGCCGGCTGCGCGCGGCCCCCACGGCGGCCGGAGGACCGTCGCGGGCAGCAAGATCAGGAGCCCGGTGAAGGTGACGCAGGCGGCCGACAACCGCGACGCCCTGGCAAAGGCACCGGCGCCCGTCGTCCTTCACCCTTCGTCGGAGCACGTGCTGTATGACTAACATGCCTGGATCACGTGGTTTCCGAGCATGCGGGGGTGGTGAGAGCCAGGCAGTTGCCCTGCCCCCCCCCATTTGTTCTGTTGTTGGGCACCTTTCCGGATCCCGTGCTTCACGGGCACTGTAAGCCAGAGTTGCTTCAGCCCTCACCCCTGTCTATGGCGTTCTTACAACGGGGTTCGCCTTCGAGTAATCGAGGGGTTGACACCTCGCCCTCGGCGGAGGCCCGCGGCAGGTTGGCAGAAGTAGAGCAAGGGCGGCTCCGCGAATCAGCGAAAGCTCGGTGGAAGCCGGCGGAAGTGAAATATGGCCTCCCAATTGAGGTCAACGCTTGCGTGCACAGGGTTGCCGGGGTCGGCCCTACGTTTGCAGCCTGAGAGGTGCAAGCCTTGACTCGGGATGTCTTGGCATCGCGCTTCGTGCCGTGAGCTGTAACAGAATTCCTCCGCCCTTCACTCGGCGTCACCCCAACATACTACTACTACATGCGCGTCGCCCCCCCAGGGGCGACGCGCGCACCGAGAAGTCGCGTCGTGGCGGGCGCTTTCTGGCCACACCGCTCGGGAAGCCATCTACTACAAGCTGGGTATAATACATGTTCGGGTCGGACGCGCGCCTCCAAGGAGGACAGACAGTCTTCGTATGTCTCTGTGCGTCCCATCGCGCTGCGTGCCGTGAGCTGTAACAGAATTCCTTCGCCCTTCGCTCCTGCCCGCTGCGTGTGCTCGGAGCTCGAGACGTGCTCGCAACCTCGTGGGAGCCAGGCGGTTGGTGCCGGGCGCGACGGTCTCGCAGGGCGCGGTGCTTGGCAGGGCGCGTCGTGGAGTCTCTCGCGCGCGGGAGCGGTCGCTGCCTGCTGGCCGTCGTGCCTACTGTGTCCGAAGTGGACGGTGCGGGGCGTGGGCGAAGAGCGGAGGGGGGGAACCGCGGGTGGTGAACGGAGGAGGAGGGGGAGAAGGAGAAGGAGGAGGAGGGGGAGGAGGAGAAGGAGGAGGAGGAGGTCGGAGGGGAGGAGGAGGACGAGGAGGAGAGGGAGGGGGAGGAGGAGGAGGAGGGGGGGAGGAGGAGGAGGGGGAGGAGGAGGGGAGGAGGAGGAGGAGGGGGAGGAGGAGGAGGAGGAGGAGGAGGAGGAGGAGGAGTTGGAGGAGGGATGAGGAGCCTCTGGGCGCCTCTCGGAGAGCGGGCGTGTCCCTCGGAGGCCGGCCGACGCGTCTCAGAGCAGGAGGAGAGGAGGAGGGTCGGCGGCGAGCGAGGGGGGGAAGTGATAGAGAAAGAGAGAGAGAGAGAGAGACGGCCTTCTCAGAAGGCGGCGGGGCTTCTCAGAAGCCCCGCCGTCCTCCTGAGAGGTCTCTTGCGTCTTTCGGGAAAGGCTTAGAAACTTCTCAGAGGTTCCGGGGAACTTCCGAGCCTTTGAGAAGGTCCGCCACTTCTCGCTTCCCCCCAGGGCGCGCCACCTAGAGAGGGTCCGAGCCGAAAACAGTGAGCGGCACGTGCACAATTTCTCGAAGGTCCGCGCGGATTTCGTGGGATCGGCGCTGGATCCTTGCTTTCTGTCCGCGCGGACCTCAGAGAGAGTACGTGTATGCAGTCTGCTGTCCCTCTATAGGAGGGACGGAGATGATCAAGGAAGTGCAGGCACGGATCGAGGCACGTGGGTCAGCGACGGGTGCCGCTTCCGTACGACATCGCCTTTCCCCGTCGCCAAATCCAGATCCACTGTCTCGTAATCCATGTCAGCGTGCGTCCGAGATGAGGGAGTGGATCGGGGGAGAGGCAGCTGAAGCTGGGTCACCCCCAAGGGCGCGAAGTTCATCGCGCTTGGCGCATCGCGGCCTGGGCCGGAGAGTTGTCCTTCTCCTTCGGTGGCGTTGCGAGGGCGCGAAGGTAACTGCGCGTCGCGCATCGTGGGGCGCGTTGCGCGAAGTTGCGCGACCTAGTTGAAGTAGGACGGGGGAGGTGAGTGGGAAGGGGGAGAGAAGACTGGCAGTGAAGGGAGTGGAGAAGGGAGGAGGAGGATGAAGACGAGGGTAGAGAAGGAGGAGGAGGAGGCGGAAGAGGAGGAGGAGGAGGAGGAGGAGGATAAAAGTATTTCCAAAACGTACCAACCATGGTAACCATCCTACAATACACCCTCACGTGCCAAGTACCCTCCTCAGTAGTCCCTACAAGCATTCTTTCTCACTGCAGGAAGTTTCTCGCTTGAATGGCGAACTCGCCATGAGCCCGCAATTCAGGCGGGAGCCTCGTTTTGAAGAATTTGCTCTTCATCCTTCAAACCATACAGAATGCGACAACGTAGGGTTTTTGGTAAAGTCCAAGGACATGCCCAGAGGCAGCCCCTCTCTGAAAAGGAACCAGCCTGTAGACGTGTAGCAAATTCACAGTTTTACACTTGTCGTGGTGTTCTCGAGGGAGTGTCAGCCGAAAGCCCCATTTTGGAAGCATGCCGGCCTCCATCCGTGTAACTGTTGGAGACTTTAAAGCATACTGTGCGGCACTCAGGCGGGAGCCGCGTTTTGGAAACCACCGGCCCCTCCATCCGTGCAATTGTCGGAGACTTTTGAGACAACTGTGGGCGGCGCTACGGCGAGAGTTGAATTGTGGAAACGACTGGTTCTCCATCCGTGTAGCTGTTGGAAGCTTTCAAGACGAATGTGCGCGGCGCCTAGACGAGATCCTCATTTTGAAACCGATCGGCCCTCCATCCGTGTAAATGCTTCGCATTTCAAGCTGCGGGGCAATCAGTAATCGCTTGTAAGGAGGTCTCAAGCGAAACGCGCGGCCAGGCCTACAGACATGTCTTGTGGGGCGACATGGAGGAGTTGTTTATGAGGAAGAGGGGCTGGGGAAGGGGAATGCCAAGCGGACGGGAAGGCGGAGGAGGAAGGGCGGGAAGCTGGGGAGGGAGAAGGGCGATGATGAGGGGGATGACGAGGATGATCATGGCGGTGGTCATGACGACGATGGGGCTGATGATGGTGATGGTGATGCCACTGCCTCTTGTGATAGTGACTGAATTTTGCATGTGATTGTCATGATGACGGCCACGATGACGATGATGCGAAACTGCAGTAAATTTCGTATGGGGATACTGATATTAATGACGCCGATGCTACTGATGTTGATGACGATAACAACGATATCGATGCCGATGCCGATGAGACGATGATGATGCTGTTGACGGAGGCCGTCGCTCCACTTCAACAGGAGCTCAACGCACGGACGCTGTTCAGGATGACTGCGATGATGATGCTGATGATGTAGATGATGAGGACGGTGGTGAGGATGATGAGGAGGAGGCATAGCTGGTTCAGGAGGAGGGATAGCGATGCTGCCGATGCTGATGATAATGATGATGCTGCTGATGATGGTGATGATGAGGATGATGATGATGATGATGATGGTGATGATGACGATGATGATGATGCTGATTCTGACGATGATGATGCTGAGGATGAGGATGATGATGCTGATGCTGATGCTGATGATGCCGATGACGATGTTGCTGCTGCTGATGAGGATGATGATGATGCTGCTTCTGATGGTGATGATGCTGATGTTGATGATGAGGATGATGACGACGATGGCGATGATGCGGATGTTGATGCTGATACTGATGATGATGCTGATGATGCTGATGATGAGGAGGATGATGAGGAGGAAGAAGAGCAGGACGGTGATCATGATCACGAGGAGGAGGAGGAGGAGGACGAGGAGGAGGATGAGGAGGAAGGATGGTGATTGAGATGGTGGGAGGGGGCGACAAAGTGCAGGAAGTGGTGGAGGGAGGAGGATGGCATGGAGGAAGGAGGGAGGGGGGGAGGGAGGGAGGGAGGTGGAGTACATGGAGGTGAATACGGTCGGAGATGCAGCTCGTATGGGATGGGCTCATTCTGGCTGCTGTCATGTCGAAAGCGTGCTTCGACATTGGTAACTGCGCCCCCTTTCCTGCTCGACCTGTCTCTGCTTAGTTTTCTTTTGCCGTTCGATTCACCGCCCCCCTTAGCTTGCCTTTTCCTCCTCTCCTCTCCTCCGGTTCCTCTCCCGTTGCCTCGACCTTGCGTTACCACATTCCCAGCAGGGACGCAAACATAACGACGCGTTGCGCTTCGCTGCCTGGGCCAGAGGTGTTGTTTACATCCACGGTGGCGGCTTGCCCCGTGAGGCGCGTCGCGCGAACTTAGGTGACCAATTTTCCGTCCTCGGCATCTTGCCGACACCTCCCGCCGCTGCCGCAGCGCAGGCCCTCTACGGGCTGATCTTCAACTACGTTGTGAAAGTCGCGAACAGGTCGATCGGATACAAGGAGGACGTGAAGCTTTTCGTGGGCGTGCTCGATATTTTCGGTGGGCGGTGTTGGGAGTAGGGCAGACAGCGGGCGGAGGATCGGCGAACGGATGAGCGGGCCCAGGCACCAGCTGCACCAGGAAGCATGCGGCCCAGACGCTTTGCGGGCGCTTCGATATGCTTACCCGAGTTTCCCAATGGGCCCAGGGGTGGGACTGGCTCCTCTCAATGTGAATGTGAGCGATCTGATCCAGGCTGTTTTCCCAGTCCGTTGCAGGTCTCTGCATGTTGTATTCCCCCCGTGCCAGCACGTTCAACGTACCCCATCAGGCAGCGAACTCTGTTGCCGTGTGGTCTGACCACCAGCATGGACGCCAGTGGGCGCTGTGGAGAAAAGTGTGTGGATCGGTGGGGGTAAGTTGGAGGATTAGGGCTCAGAGTGCCTGACGCTGACGCGCCGAGAAAATGTTGCTTCAGACCAGCTCTTTTCCTTGAGCTCGCGCCGCGGACTTGTTGCTCAAGACCAGCTTTTTCTTTGGGCACCGCCTCTGTGCGTGCGTGCGTGCGTGTGTGTGTGTGTGTCTGTATTTGTGTCCTGTCCGCGCCGGGCGTCCTCCTCCTCTCTCACGTGCATGGCGGCCCAATTCGTGTTCAGTGCATCCCACTAACGCTTAATCGCCAGCGCAGTGACTCTGCCCAGCCGCCGACGTAATGTGTGTGTGTGTGAAACAAGAAAGGAGCCGCCCGCCCCGTCCTTGTTTTCCTTCGGCCGCGTCCCTCCTCCCTCTTCCTCTTGCATGGTGGCACATTTCGCTCCAAAGGAACCCCCGCTTATGCCTCTCATCGCCAGCGCAGCCACCCTCTGCCTAGCCGCCGACGCAACAAGTTTGTGTGTGTGTGTGTGTGTGTCTGTGTGTGAGACTGGCCAAGGAGTGCTTGACCGTCGTGCAATTGGACACGCGTCTACAGGTCCTCCCTTCTCGGGGCAGTGCCCGCGGGCGTTGCGTACATACGTGCCAGGCGCGAGGCGGACCAGGCCTCTCTCGCGGTTGCAGCCGCGCCTACTTCAGAATTACCCCGTTCGCAGATCAGACGCGGTACGGTCCATCGTGTACAGCCCCCGTCGGGCTCCCCGAGTGCCACCTGGAAAGGGTATCTGCTGTGACGTGGTGCTTCGCAGGCGTCTTCGCCACCTTCCAGATGCTGCCAGCGGCAAGCATGCTGCATGCGATCTGGAAGCGCCAGGCTTTTTGGCAGTCGCGACGGGCGGAACAAATCAAGGTGGAGGTCATCGATGCAAGATGCGCGGCCTGCTTTTCAGTTTCGCATCTTGTGAGAGGACGTACGCTTTTTCCCCACATGCTTCGTGAGGTTCTGGTTTCTCTTCCCTTCCGCGTCTCACCCGCGTCTCCTCCTCCTTCTCCTCCCTCTCCTTCTCCTTCTTTCTCACCTCACGCACATCAAAGCACGCACGCACGGAGGCGTGGCACTTTCTCGACAGCAGAGGGGGTGCGCAGGGGGTGGTCTCTCACCGCGGTCTCTATACGCGCCAATGCCTCGCAGGCGTGGCACTTTCTCGACACCGGAGGGGGTGCGCAGGAGGTGGTCTCTCACCGCGGTCTCTATACGCGCCAATGTCGCAGGGCCTAGCAGGCGTGGCACTTTCTCGACACCGGAGAGGGTGCGCAGGGGGTGGTCTCTCACCGCGGTCCCTATACGCGCCAATGTCGCAGGGCCTAGCAGGCGTGGCACTTTCTCGACACCACAGGGGGTGCGCAGGGGGTGGTCTCTCACCGCGGTCCCTATACGCGCCAATGTCGCAGGGCCTAGCAGGCGTGGCACTTTCTCGACACCAGAGGGGGTGCGCAGGGGGTGGTCTCTCACCGCGGTCTCTATACGCGCCAATGTCGCAGGGCCTAGCAGGCGTGGCACTTTCTCGACACCGGAGGGGGTGCGCAGGGGGTGGTCTCTCACCGCGGTCTCTATACGCGCCAATGTCGCAGGGCCTAGCAGGCGTGGCACTTTCTCGACACCAGAGGGGGTGCGCAGGGGGTGGTCTCTCACCGCGGTCTCTATACGCGCCAATGTCGCAGGGCCTAGCAGGCGTGGCACTTTCTCGACACCGGAGGGGGTGCGCAGGGGGTGGTCTCTCACCGCGGTCCTATACGCGCCAATGTCGCGCCTAGCAGGCGTAGCTTTTCTCGACACCAGAGGGGGTGCGCAGGGGTGGTCTCTCACCGCGGGCCCTATACGCGCCAATGTCGCAGGGCCTAGCAGGCGTGGCACTTTCTCGACGCCAGAGGGGGTGCGCAGGGGGTGGTCTCTCACCGCGGTCTCTATACGCGCCAATGTCGCAGGGCCTAGCAGGCGTGGCACTTTCTCGACACCAGAGGGGGTGCGCAGGGGGTGGTCTCTCAGCCGCGGTCCCTATACGCGCCAATGTCGCAGGGCCTCGCAGGCGTGGCACTTTCTCGACACCGGAGGGGGTGCGCAGGGGGTGGTCTCTCACCGCGGTCCCTATACGCGCCAATGTCGCAGGGCCTAGCAGGCGTGGCACTTTCTCGACACCAGAGGGGGTGCGCAGGGGGTGGTCTCTCACCGCGGTCTCTATACGCGCCAATGTCGCAGGGCCTAGCAGGCGTGGCACTTTCTCGACACCGGAGGGGGTGCGCAGGGGGTGGTCTCTCACCGCAGGTCTCCTATACGCGCCAATGTCGCAGGGCCTGGCAGCACGGTGGTGCGCAGGGGGTGGTCTCTCACCGCGGTCTCTATACGTGCCAATGTCGCAGGGCCTAGCAGGGCACTTTCGACACCGGAGGGGTGCGCAAGGGGTGTCACTCACCGCGGTCCCTATACGCGCCAATGTCGCAGGGCCTAGCAGGCGTGGCACTTCCTCGACACCAGAGGGGGTGCGCAGGGGGTGGTCTCTCACCGCGGTCCCTATACGCGCCAATGTCGCAGGGCCTAGCAGGCGTTGCACTTTCTCGACACCGGAGGGGGTGCGCAAGGGGGTGGTCTCTCACCGCGGCCCCTATACGCGCCAATGTTGCAGGGCCTAGCAGGCGTGGCACTTTCTCGACACCAGAGGGGGTGCGCACGGGGGTGGTCTCTCACCGCGGTCTCTATACACGCCAATGTCGCAGGGCTTAGCAGGCGTGGCACTTTCTCCACTCCAGAGGGGGTGCGCAGGGGGTGGTCTCCCACCGGGGTGGTCCCTCACCGCGGCCGCTATGCACGACGGTCGTCCAGGGCATAGCAGGCGCGGCACTTTCTCGACACCTTAAAGGCTACGCAGGGGGTGGTCCCTCACCGCGACGCCATGCACGACGGTCGTCCAGGGCCTAGCAGGCGTGGCACTTTCTCGACACCATAGAGGGTTTGCAGGGTGTGGTCCCTCACCGCGGCCGCTGGCTGGCTCGAATCTGTCCTCGATGGAGGATAGAAGGCTAGGAAGAGGGAGGAGGTTCAAGCAATATGGCGTTGGATGACACAGAGGGGAACATTCGCGACGAGGGCTGAGAACGCAGAATTGCGCATATATGATAAACTTAAGCAAGCACATAATATTTAAATTAAGTATGTGGGGTTCCTCGGTAACGTAATTCTTCGGCTTTCCCGGTGTAGTCTCATGTATTGCCGATGGCAAGTGCTTCCTGAGTGCACGGGGCAAAACGCTTGTGCCAGCCGCAACGGTCCCGTGCTGGCGGTGACGCTGGAGCTTCAACGTGGCTTTCGTAGATTCGCAACACGTGTTGTTCTGTTTGGTGGGCGTTTCTGTCGTGCCGCTCTGTGTCTAGAATTACGTCTTTCTCTCTCTCTCTCTCCCCCCCTTCTCGTCCGCCTATCACTCTCTGCTACATGTATCGTCTGCTAAGTAGATACATAACGCTATTTGTGTCGCGCGTATGCTGCTGCATCGGATTTCATATTTCCCTCTCCATATATGCCAACTTCAATGTATATGCATCGCGCAATCGGTTTCGATTTCGTATTCGTGTCGTGCGTGCGGGCGAGGGGAAGCTGCGTGGGCGCGCGAAAGGAATGATGCCCGGGCGCGCGGTGGCCAGGGGTGTCCCGTCGGTGGCGCGCCTGCGTCCCGTAGCTGTCCCGTTGGTGGCGCGGCGATGTCGCGTCGGTGGCGCGGAGTCTCCCGTCGGTGGCGTACGGTATCCCGTGGGTCCCGCGGCGGTGAGATCGATAGTGAGGTAAATCGTGTTATTGATTGCGAGATTTGTTGTGAGATCTTTTGTGAGATTTGCTGTGAGATCGATCGCGAGATCTGTTGTGAGATCGATCGTGAGATCTTTTGTGAGATCGATTGTGAGATCCCTCGTGATATGTACATATACGACCACCCTTCGGGTGATATGGAGGTTCGGGGGGGCGGGAGGGGGAACCAACGTCTAATTCAACCGATCACACATCGATCAAACTCTCGATCTCACAACAGATCTCACTATCGATCTCACCATCGATGTCGCATCAGATCGCACTATCGATCTCATTCTCGATCTCACCATCGATCTGGCAATCGAACTCGCTATCGATATATCACTAGCTATCCCACGATCGATCTTACAACAGATTTCACGATCGATCTCCGCATCGATCTCACCGTCGATCTGACCATCGAACCCACGATCGATTTCACATTCGGACTCACAATCGATCTTGCAATAGTTCTCACTATCCGTCTCACTATCGATATCACAGTCGATCTCACCATTGATTTCACTGTCGGGCTCACAGTCGATCTCATAGCCGATCTCATGATCGATCTGAGTGTCGATATCACTGTCGATTCCACTATCGGAGGTTGGGGGGTGAGATCGCAGTGGAACTGAGAGCCCCCCCACCGGGAAATCGGTTTCGGTTTCGCGTTCGTGTCGTGTGTGCGAGCGAGGCGAAGCTGCGTGGGCGCGCGAGAGGAATGATGCCGCCGTGGCTAGGGGCTGTGGAGCTGGTTGTGCGCCCCTCCTCCCCTTGGCGCGCGGTGGCCAGAGGTGGCCCGGTGGTGGCGCGTCGGTGTCCCGTCGGTGTCCC